CCGTTGGGGTGGATGCGGCCGTGGGGGGGGCGGCGCGGGGAGGACGCCCGCAAACCGGAAGCGGAAGCCGTATTGCCTCAACTTCCGCCTCCAGGTGGTGCCCATTTCCGCCCTCATCCTTCTCCATATTGAGAGGCCAATACTTCCTGGATCATAGAGAAACTCGAGCAAAAATGAACCGAGGCCAAAAAAAAAAATAAAATTGGAGGGAAGAAAATGCAAACGGACGAATCCGGCAATATAGACATAAAAAGGGTTAAACGTTTCACACAGCGTTCAGTTGCGCACAGAAGTCTTATTTTTCATTTACTCACACGTAAGCATTCTAGATAGGGGAAAAAACTATTTTCAAGCCAATAAAATCTCAGGAATATCAAAACTGTTTTTACTTCACTACAGACTACTGTACAATCCAACACTAAACCATTAAAAGCAGTAGTTTCTTTGGTATACTTTCCAGGGCAAACCCAGCCGAATGTTTAATAAACCCTGACTAAGCAAACCATGGCGTAGTGTATTGTGTGAATGCAACCCATGCTTTTGCAAGAATTCAGAATGCACAGCTAGTTGTAGTAAATTGGGAGTTCCAGTAAGACTCGCAGTTGTTTGTGCAGTCATACAGTACTACACCCCAACCTCTGAATTATTGTGACACTGGTACCTGCTTGCTCAAATGGCAACCCCCGCCCCAGAAAGAACCAATCAGAAATTTGGCTTTGATGAACAGTAGCCAATCCCAAAACACCTTCCAAAATTTAAAGGAACAGCACTTCCATTTTTCTTCAAGATATTAATACTGTATAAAGTAAGATTGGGACTGGATCCATGAGGATGAAAAAAATAACAATCTCTTGAGCCCTTCTTCTGCCTGTACTTATAGATGCAACATTTTGATAAAGGCAAGAGACTACTCCAATCACAACTCTGAATCTCTTTATTTTTATCTTACAGATTCAGCAAATTTTCCATTAAATGTAAAGAAAACTCAATTTGTTGTAACATTAAGGTGGTTTTTTACCCCACCCATAGAAGTCACCCCCATTCCCATCCCCCTTGGCAAGTTAAATGGTAGCATGCAACACCCTCCCCCCCCAATCCAGTAGTCTAGTTGACTACAAAAATAATTATGTTTATTGGAGCTGGAGAACACTGTGGTTTAGTAGAAAAGTTTCCCTATTGTGTATGAAATTCTACAAACTAGGCACGTACAAAAGAATGGCATAGCTGCAGTGATTATAAAGGATCCCGTAAGCATATATACATAGAAAATAATACAATGGAATTCTCTGGTTTAGATATTTTGTTAAAAGCTCAGGGCCCTATCCAAAAATATTAATTTTCTGAGAAATCAAAAGCAAGTAAGAGTAACCAAACTTGTCATCCTTCATTCTAGTCAAACAAGTGTTGAAGGTAATTTACAATCTTAACAAGTGTAACATAAAAACCCACAATAAATTAAACCCATCCACTAAAATAGGATAAATAGGCATAAATCACCAATGTCAAGGGGATGAATGTCAACATCATAGGCCTAGGTTTTGGCAGAAGGGGATGTGTATTGTGAAAAGCTGTTGGAGATAAAGCATCCCTTGGCTAGGAATTCCAAACCACAGCCAGAGGGAAGACCCTTTTTAGTAACTCCTCAGATGTTGAGGGAGCCTCCAATTTGCACCTAGGATTTCTTTAAAGTTTCTGACTTTAAAATACCAGTATAAATTTTGCTTTTTTGGGCTACAGCAACTGCAGCTTCAATCCTGGCTATCTATCCATTAAGTATAGTGATTAACATTAGTCCAGAAGACCAGATTTTTCTCTTAATTCTATCTCAAATTGTTGTAATTGCAAGGATAACATTTAGGAAGAGACTTTTCCTATTCTGAACTTCTGAAACAGCAGAATAAAAACGTAATAAAAATATATTTTAAGAAAAGTATAGGAAAGAAAATGCATGTTAAAATTCCACTGCTTTAGAGGTATGTACAGCTTTAATGTAGTGTTACTGTAGCAGTCACAGCCCTTAAAAGGCAAGCACTTCCCATCATCATTAGTCTGCAGCAAAAAATATATTTGCCTACCTATAACTTTTACCTGGTCAACCTGTTTAGCTTTCCCATTTGAAACTGTTATGCTCTTTAAGAAAACTTAAGTTTTCTCCTTAATCTACTCCCAGTTTAAGCAATAACCTACAGTATACTATTTGTGGATGTACCTGTAACACATCACCTTAGAAAATAACTTTATGATCGTAAAATCTGATTTTTTTCCCCTAAGATGACAGATCTAGGTAGCTTGCCTTATAGCAGTACCAGATGTAGAAGTATAATATCAAGAAGCTATGGAAGGCCCACTATTTGGGCCTATAATGGGAGCTTCTGGACTCCCATTTCTATGTTCACAGAAGGAAAGCCAAACTGAGTAAAGGCACTTTGAAATAATGATCATAGCAACATGAAATTCCCCATTAAACTGAATTTACCTATACGACCACACATTTCCTCAGACTGACCATATTCAGAAGTTCATTAGTTTAAAAAACTGCAAATACTGAGAAAGGTCTTCTATTTCTTTATCTCAAAATTGGGTTTTGAATTAGTTATTAATATTTTTCCACGTGCATGCTTTGGTATTCTGGAGGCAGAGTAATTTCAAGTTTTTGCATCAACACCTGCTGGGAATTTTCAAGGGCCAGACTGCAGTTGTACACATTACTAAGCTCCACTGAGCAGTATAAGCTTTAATTTACTATCCTACTTAGGCTTTGTGATCAAGCATTAAACTCAATTTTTTAGCTAAGGTAACATTTTTATAAAAGCCTTACATAAACTGCAGTGGCGTGTTGCTGATCATCTGCTAAATAAACCATAAATTCTGCAGCAAAAATAGTTGAATTCTTGCAACCTGAATAGATTATGTAAGATACCATTATATTGGGCAGTGAAATATTGCCTTAGAAATGTTGGAAGGCTTGTTCAGCAATTCCTTTAGGATAAGGCTCTCAGCCTTTAAATATGCACCTCTAAGGGGAAGAAATGGTTTTGTGGAGGGAAGGAAAGGAGTTGGATGAAAGTGAAGATTTCTGGAAAGTTTATAGATCCACAGAGTACCACATACTGGCACTTCAGTCTGCTTAAGGTTATCCTCAGCCTCCTGCACCTTAAATCAATGAAACTGATGACTGTGCAACATCTCCTACAAAGACAAAATTGCACTGACCTAAGGAATACAAGTTATTGCACCCAAGCACAGGCCCATGAACAAAGACACTGAGACATCTGTAGTCACAGATTTTGCCAACTTCTACATTACAGAATAGAATGTGCAGAATTCTTCTGGCAGAACTCAAGAGGATAGATCCTAGTTAAAAATAATTACTTCCATCTTCTGTTCTTAAGATACTACCAGCATTAAACCTGTACAGGTAGTCCTCGTTTAACGACCACTCATTCAACAACCACTCAAAGTTACGTATGGTACTAACCACTGATCCTCATAGTTGCGGCCATCGCAGTGTCCCCATGGTCACGTGATCACAATCAGGGCACTTGGTGACTGGCTCGCAATTACGATGTTGAAGCATCCCGTGGTCACGGGATCACCACTTGCAACCTTCACTTTTGACAAGCAAAGTCAATGGGGAAGCCAGCAGGAGGTAACAAATGGCGACCATGTGATGTTGTGCTTAATGCTGTGGGATTTGCTTAATGACGGCAACTGGAAATGCCAGAACTAAGTGGTGCAGTCACATTAACATCATGCTTTATGACTGTGTCGCTTAGCAACAGAAATTCTGGTCCCAATTACCATTGTTAAGCAAGGATTACCTGTACATAACTAGGTGACAGGTTTTGATACTGCTAGCACCTATGTTGACTATTTTTCCTTTGGAAAGCATGTTAAACCATCTTAGCTTGCAATCAGGGATTTAAAAGAGAGGAAGTTGTCCCAATGACACCAGGGAATTGGAAAAAAAATGTTTAATTATGAGAGACAACACTAGAGAAATAGTTGTCCATACACACAGCGCAGAAGAAAGGAAAATACAACAAAAACAGGCCCACTGTTTTGACAGCAAAACTCCTTTTAGCAAAAAATCAGAAACATCACAGAGAAAGGAGGGAGGGGAAATATGGGATAAGAGACAACATTTCTACTACAGAATAACCATCACTGGGAAACCGTGGGGGCATGGGTGGGTGGGCTGGTGGTGGGGTCAGAAAAGGAAGGAACTGGGATAAATGGAAGGGGGGAAAAATACAGATTTTGGCCATAAAATATAAACAGGCTATGCTGCTAAAGGAGCCTCTCCGGCCAGCGAGTTGCCCCTGCCTCCACAAAACCCCCTCAAGGCCTGTTTCAGGGCTGGGCTACCAGAAGTCTCGGCGATGATAGGAGTCAGGATCGCAGTACTTGGTCACCACGACCCGGTTTGCAAACTTGCGTCCGGTGAGGCCTTGCATGGCCTTCTGACAGTCAAAGACAGATGTGAACTCCACAAAAATCTACAAGAGGAAAGAGTGAGGGGACAAAAGGGAAGAGAATTAGTAACACACTTTAAAAACCTGATTAAAGGAGTCAAATCTGGATCCAGACGATACATACAGGAGTGTGACTAGGAAAATAAACTAAAGCAACTACACTTCTGTTGTAATTTGACCCTCATTAAAATTTCTTCCACCCATCTAGTCTAATCTGCCTACCATGCTAAATATGCTGATAGCTGCATTTATAAACTGATCACTACCTTGCAATTCTTAAAGCTACCCA